TGGTATTTACATTTCACTCCTAGATACAAAAAAAAAAAAAATGTGTATACCTGTAAGACAGAAGACATTTACCAGAATGTACATAACAGCATTATTTGAAATAGTCAAATACTTGACACAATCCAGAGTATTTCATACTATACGATTCTCATAATACTAAGTTCAAAAGCATGCAAAACTAATCAGTTGTGTGAGAGGTCAAAAAAAAAGACACATAGGCTAACTTAAAGTGATCTTTTTGGTTGAATATGCAATAATTCAAGCTTTAAAAGTATAACTATTATAATTGATTTGACCACATCAAATATATTAAAATTCTTAACTTTATAATAATATCCTATTGGGAGACTGTTGATTACTGATTAAATCTCATTACTTATTATTGGTCTGTTCAGGTTTTCAATTTCTTCTTGGTTCAGTCTTGATATGTGTCCAGAAATTCATCCATTTCCTCTAGATTTTCAAATTTGTTGGTATGCAGTTGTTTATAATAGTCTCTAATGATATTTTGTATGTCTGTGGAATCAATTGTAATGTCTTCTTTTTCATTTCTGACTTTCACTATTTGAGTCTTACCTCTTCTTTGCTTGGTTAGTCTAGCTAATGGTTTGTCAATTTTGCTTCTCTTATCAGAAGAACAACTTTTTGCTTCATTGACCTTTTGTATTTTTTTTTGTCTCTATTTCATTTAGTTCTGCTCTGATCTTTATTATTTTCATCTACTAATTTTAGGGTTGGCCTGTTATTGCTTTTCTAGTTCCTTGAGGTATAACGTTAGGTTGTTTATTTAAGTCTTCCTATTTTTTTGAGGTAAGCATTTACTGCAATAACATTCTCTCTTAATACTGCTTTTGCAGTATCCAATAGGTTTTGGTGTGTTGTGCTCATATTTTCATTTGTTTCAAGGAGGTTTTTTTTTGTTTCTTGCTTTATTTCTTTTTTGACCCATTGGTCATTCAGGAACATATTGTTTAATTTTTATGTATTCTTGTAATTTCCAAAATTTTGCTTGGTATTCATTTCTACTTTTATTCTGTTGTGGTCTGAAAAGAATACTTGATATGATTTAAAACTTTTTAAATTTGTTGATACTTTATTTGTGGCCTGACATGTGGGCAATGATCCATGTGCTGATGAGAAGAATGTAAATTCTGAAGTTGTTTGGTGAAATGTTCTATAAATGTCTATCAAGTCCATTTGCTATAAAGTGCCATTTAAATCCAATATTACTCTGCTAATTTTCTTTTAAATTTTTATTCATTATGAGCATATTCATTTTTACAAATCGTGATATTTCTTTATGCCCTTTGCCTGACCCATCACTTCCCAAACCTGTACTAATTTTTTGTCTAAATGATCTGTCCAGTCCTGACATGGGGTGTTAAAGTCCCCAACTATTATTGTATTGGGGGTCTATCTCTCTCTTTAGATCCAATAGTATTTGCTTGATATATCTGGCTGTTCCAATGTTGAGTGCATATATATTTATGATCGTTACATCTTCTTGCTGCATGGATCCCTTTATCATTGTATAATGACCTTCTTTGTCTCTTTTTATAGTTTTTGGTTTAAAGTCTGTGTTACCCAATATAAGTATACCAACTCCTGCTTGTTTTTTGATTCCATTTGTGTGGAGTATCTTTTTCCATCCCATTCACTGTTAGTCTATGTTTGTCTTTACTGGTGAAGTGAGTTTCTTGTAGACAGCATATACTTGGGTCTAGGTGTTATCAATAAGACCTCAAAAGCACAGGAAACAAAAGCAATAATAAAAAAAATATGATTATATCAAACCAAAAACCTTCCGCACAGCAAAGGAAACAATCAATAAAGCAAAGAGACAACTTACAGAATGGGAAAAATATGTGCAAACTACTCATCTGACAAGAGGCTAATATCCAGAATATACAAGGAATTTGAATAATTCAATAGTAAAAAAACCCCCACAAATCACTCAATTTTAAAATGGGCAAAAGAGCTGAATAGACATTACTCAAAAGAAAACATGCAAATGGACAACAGGCATATGAAAAAATGCTCAACATCACTAATCATCAGAGAAATGCAAATCAAAACCACATTGATGCATCATCTCACACCTGTTAGACTGGCTATTATCAAAAAGACAGGAAATAGAAAATGCTGGTGAGGATGTGGAGAAAGGGGAACCCTTATACATTGTTGGTGGGATTATAAATTAGTACAGCCATTTTGGAAAAAAGTATGGAGGTTTCTCAAACAATAACAGATAAAACTACCATGTGACTCAGCAACTCCACTACTGGGTATATACTCAAAGGAATGGAAAGAATCACACCAAAGGGATGCCTGCACTCTCATGTTTATTGCAGTTCTGCTCACGATAGCCAAGATTTGCAACCAACCTAAAAGTACATTGGCATATAATTAGATATAGAAAATGTGGTACATGTACACAGTTGAATACTTCTTAGCCATAAAAAAGAATGAAATTCTGCCATTCACAGTGCCGTGGATGAGCCTGGAGAAAATTATGTTAGGTGAAACAAGCCAGGCACAGAAAGAGAAATACCACATGTTCTCACTCATATGTGGGAGTTAAAAAACAAACAAACAAACAAATAAACAACAATAAGAAGTCAAGCTGTTCAAAGGAGAGAGAAGAACTGTGCTTACAAGAAGTGGGAGAGGGGAGTGGAAAAGGGGGATAATGAAAGACTGGTTAATACACGCAAAATTACAGCTAGGAAAAATAAATCTTATTAGTGTGCAGTTAATCCAGGTATCTATAATTAACAATGATTTACTGCATGTTATCAAACAACTAGAAGAGAGAAGATCAAATGTGCACATCAGAAAGAAATGATTAAGTTTTGAAATCATGAACATGCTAATTACCATGGATAGCTCATCACACATTGTATACATGTAAGATAACTCTGTATCCCATACATATGTACAATTGATATGTTTCAATAAAAAATTTAAAAAATAATAATAATATCCTCTTCAAACAGAAAAACATAAAACCTCATTGTTCACCTTGGGGAATGTCTAGGGCTCCAGCAATTATTCTGAAAATAGATAAATAAAGGGAAAGAGTCAGGAATTTATTCTGCCTCTCCTTTATGGATCATGTTTTAGAAACTCCAATTTAATGATAGTTCTCTATAAAAGAATTAGAGCTAATAAATGCAGAAAAATGGCAGACTCCAGAAATTCTTATTTTCCAAATTCTGATGAAATAACTGATCTACCCAATAATTATTAAAATCATTTTGTGTAGGGTTGACAGGTAACTCAATAATGCATGGCTCACACTAATATCATCTGAACAGCCATCAATGAATATCACCCAAAGTGGGACAAAATGTTGTTCTTCTTAATGTCACATAATAGGGAGTCTACAGCTTACAAAGTAAAATAACACTCAAAACCAAAAAAGGTTGAGACAGGTATACATGGAAATAAATTTATTTTTGTCAAAATGATAACAAGTATTTAAGATATTATAACAGAGAATCAACAGTAAATTAAAGGAAATGCGATAGCAAAATCAATACTAATTTATAAAGTCATTATTATGTTAGCCACCAAGACAGTAGAATTGATCAGAATCTCCTGGATGTCAATAATATTTCTAAAGAGAACATATTCAATTCTGTAACTTTTAAAAAGGTATTTGTCAGTGGAGACCTATAGGACTAAAACTGTATGCACATAAAAATGAATCAAACTTCTTCATTTACATTTATAGGTTAATTAATCAATAAATTTATGATACATAATATGTCAGCAATTTAGATTAGTGTTTTGGTATCTGTTGGAATGACAGCAAAAAATAACTAACTACAAATAACTCAAAATTCTTCAATAAGAGGTACATTTTCACTCCTGTTTCAACAAATTAAATTTAATTTTCATTCCATATGAATTATTTCTTCCTAAGTCCAATGCTTGAACAGACAGATTGCTCAAGAAACATAATTCATACTTTACAAAGGAGGATCTGTGTCAATTCTATTATGCTAAAAATTGGTATATATGCTAATGTAGTTCATTCACTGAATTGGTAGTAAATTGGTGGCTGAGATCATGAAAACCTGGTTTTACATTTAATAGAATTCACTACCTCGACTTGGCACCCACATCCATATACATTTGACCAGTTTCCAATCCTTGCCTTCTGCCTCCTGGAGTATAGCCATAATATTCCTGCCATGCTTACTATTGTAAACAAAATGTTCATGTCAATAGAGTATAGGAGATCTGTAATATTTGAGAAGGCTATATTCTGAGATATTTTCTAATCTGCAAGTTTCTGAATACCATTGTATCATATAATGTCCTATGTGAAAGTTAGTATATGGACTTCTAGAAATGGGAAGTTTTAAATTTTGAAGCTCCATTATTTAACTCAAGTTAACCTCTTCTTTAAAAAAAAAATGTTGTTAAGGTACAGCAAAACTTTAAAAACTAAAAGGATATACCAATTTTTAAAAACTTCTTTATTTTTCTTAATATTTATCATCTTTATTTCAAGAACACTTTCTGCCAAGAATCTGAGTTTTTATCATTTTATCATTGTATGGTAAAGCATCATAGAGCCTTATTAACATGCAGGTGTAATAGGATCATGAACTAAATGACTTACACTTACATACCAACTTCAGTGATAGTCAATTATTCAATGGAATTTGGGTAAGGGTCCCTTGCAGACAATAAATTTAATAAATGAAAGTCTAATAAATAAATGAATAATAAATAAATGAATGTCTAGATAACAAGGAAGTAAAACGTTTTTAAATAAATTCCTTATGGATGATGTGAGGACATTTCAACTGGATCCACATCCAAGAAAACATAAAAAGTTGGCTTCCTTCACACACTGCTTAATGGCCACCCTGACCATTAGCCCTCTGATGAAAAAACAGAGCCATAGATAATAAACAGAATTTAATGGCTTGCTTAAGAAATGGGTAGAAAAAAAGAAAAGATTTGAAATTTCCCATGAAAACTGTTTACTTCTTTGTAACTCTTCTCAAGGCACTTATAACTTCATTATTTCTCAAGCTGTAAATAAATGGGTTCAGCAGTGGGATTATAATTGTGTAAAACAGAGAATACATTTTGTCCTGATCTTCAGGTAGCCCAGATGCAGGATGCACGTACATGAAGATGAGAGTTCCATAGTACAAGGAGACAGAGAGCAGATGGGCACTGCATGTGGAGAAGGCTTTGCTTCTGCCCTTTTCAGACTTTTTTTTAGAATATCAAAGAGCACACGACTATAAGAGATTATGATAGTCATTAAAGTGGATATTTGTATAAAAGCTGCAAAAATAAGTATCATCAGTGCATTGATAGATGGGTCACTGCATGAAATTTTGAACAGTTGTAAAATTTCACAGTAGAAGTAATGTATTATGTTTGACCTGCAAAAAGTTAATCTTTATAGCAAACTCACATGAACCAGGGGATGCAGAAAACCAATTGCATATGAAATACTTATCAACTGAGTGCAGAGTCTGTTGGACATCACCACTGGATAAAGTAAGGGGTTACATATGGCTACATAGCGGTCATAGGCCATCACTACCAGGAGGAAGCACTCTGTAGTTGCACTGGAAGCAAAAAAGTAAAATTGGGTGATGCACTCAGCTAGGGATATCACTGCAGTCATGTCTAAGAAATTGACCAGCATCCTAGGGGTTACAGAGGTTGAAGTACAAGCATCTGCAAAGGCTAAACCACCAAGGAATAAGTACATGGGTGTGTGAAGGTGGGGGTCCTTCCAAATAAGAGCCATCAGTCCAAGGTTGCCCACCATAGTGATGAGGTAGACCATGAAGAACACAATGAAGAGGAGGACCTGCAGCCATGGTTGATCTGTAAGTCCCAAGAGAACGAAATCTGTCACCAGAGAATAATTTCTTTCTGACATATCCACAATTGACCACTGTAATGAGAAAATATGTGACAAAGACCATCACTAACAATAACACAAAGCAGTGGCATTTTATTTGTGAATTAATTTATTCCTTTTAGTTTCTGATTTAGTTAGTAGTTTTTAACGTTTAACTTTTATCCTTTAGTAAAATCTGTTTACAAAGTCTGTGTTTAGGTATATGACCCTAAAATTGGGGAAAACTGAATAAATGCAAATATTTGAGTTATACTAGAGGCAAATTTTTACTTATTATGCCTCTTTAGGGTTTGTGACCAGGCCTGAGAATTAAACTGAAATAAAGTAGATTAACAGGAGAAAAGCATACAAATTTATATGTTTTATGTGACATGGTAGTCCTCATGAGGAAATGAAGGCCCAAAGAAGTGGCCTAAATGCTTTTATACTAGACTAAACAAAGAGATACAAGTATGAAAATGTAACTAAACTATGTGGGGAGACAAAAGAAAGACAAAAATTATTTTAAAGACTTCTGCTTGTACAGAATGCACTTAGA